GAGAAGGGAGCAACATGGGTTGAATGGCTTACGGGGGAGGAAAGGGCCCTGATTCCCTTCACAAGGCACACCTGGGGAGGGAGTTTAAAGGAGAGGCAGTTGGAAGGGACATTTATCGAGAACAAACGCCGAGTGGTTTGATTTACTGCCGTGCTACTTCACTTCTGGAACTCCTTATCTTGCCCTGTCGGATTTATTACCTTATCTTGTCTTGTTGGATTTATACTTTAAACTTTTCAGTTTACAACGTTAGGACTGGAATATCTGCAGCTAAAGGCTGTTGCAGGTTTAGGGGAGAGTTTTTCTCCAGACTGGAAGATAACCGGGAGCAAAGTTGGAGCTAATAAAGGGCCCCAGACTTATTCTCTGTGTTGCCTTTGTGCCATGCCCCGGGTCATAACATGTAAAGAACTTCATAGCTGGGGCATATCGGCAGCCAGTGGGACACGCTGCCCCCTAGAGGGGAGGGCTATCCTACGTGGAAAGTCTTTGCGCCCAGTTGAACATCTGTTGCTGATGCTTTTGGCGGGGCGCGGTCTCCGAACCTGGCAACTTTTAAAGACTTGTGGACTTCAACTCCCAGAAGCTGGCTGGGGAATTCTGGGAGTTGAAGTCCACAGGTCTTAAAAAGTTGCCAGGTTTGGAGACACCCCCCCCTCCTCTAGGGGCTGCATTTTTTCAATCTGGGCAGCTGACTGGCTGGGGAATTGTGGGACTTAAAAGCTCATCTCCCGTGAGTGTCCAAAGCTAAGTAACACAGCTTCAGGAGATGCTCCCCAGGCAGTTGGGGGGGGGGGGGGGGGAGGTCAGCCTAGTTGATCTCTAAGGTTGCTCCAATTCTGGGGCTCTAGAATTTCCTGCGCAAAATCGGATCCTATCAACAAAAGTGAATGTTTCTAGCTCAGTTGATGTAACCTAGTTGGGTCATGAAACATCTGCAAGGAAACACACCCGACCTGAGAGAGCACACTGAGGACCACACGCACACACCCACACCCACACTGGATCCTTTCATCCCTGAAATGTTGTGTGTTCCTCCAGGCCAACGACTACACCGTGGAAATCTCCCAACAGCCAGGCCTGGAAGAGGCCGTCGACACCATGGCGCTGCGCCTCTTGACCCAGGAAAGGGCCCACCAGCGCTTCCAGACATACACGGCTCCCTCACTCAGCAAGCAGTGACGTCTCGCCGCTGCGCCGTGTCTGTATTTGTGTACATATGTCCATATATATATATGTGTGCGTGTGTGTATATGTGAATGTATGTAAATGTATGAAATTGGTGTAGCTTCTCCTGCGCTACACACACAACCACCAAGTATTTCATCGGCAGGACCTTTCTACTCCTACCTGTGCTTTCCCCCAATAAAAGGGGCTTTGTAGAAGGTGCCGTTTGTGTTCCTTTTTGACCCCCACGCCTTGTTCCGTCATAGGCCTCCCCCCAAAGCACCCAGTCAATTCTGAGTCCCAGCAAAAGCCTCTTTCTTTACTGGGAATAATGGGAATCCGTTCATTCACACTCGGGCAGCAGCTTGGCCCACATTCTCGCCGAAGGCGGATTGATGATCTCAGACGGTTATCAATCCTGGGAACCCTGCCGGTAAACCGTTCCACACTCACCGTTGGCAGGGAAGGCTGGGTTTGCAACAGTGGTTCTGTTGGTTCTGGTGAACCAGGAGCGCCGAAGATCAGCTGGCAAGAGAACTGGTTTGCTCCGAGTTCTCCAATGCTCTGCTGTTGGGCCCACCCGCCCGCTGGGACTCTATTCCCCTTTTGAAGCACAGCTTTGCGCAGCACAGCACAGCAGATTGCCGCGTGTCGGCTGTTGAAGCTACAGGGAGCGTGCAGGAGTGCAAAGTGCGCCCGCCAAACTGGTGGTAAACTGCTTTGAAGCCCACTGCTGGTTTACAGGCCAAGATCCACAAGGCTGGAACAAACCCATGGCCGAACAAGCAAGTTGTTTCCTGCAAAAGCCCCCTTCCCTTTCGCTCCTCTTTTAATCTCTGTGGGGAGGGCATTCACCGCCCACCTGTGGCTTTACTCCCACATCGACCCTTGGTTTGTAATTGTTCACTTCTTCTGGCAGCTCTGTGCATGCATACTGGGAACAGGCTCCAGCTGTTCTTCCCCACTGATCTCCAACTCAGAAGGCAGCTGATAACTGTCAGACGGCCCTGGTCCCCATCTCTGCCTCCGACAGAGCCCTCATCCGAGCCTTCCCCAGACCCTTCATCTGGCAGCTCTGTGCATGCGCACATCGGGAACAGGCTCCAGCTGTTCTTCTACCCCACTGATCTCCAACTCTAAAGGCAGCTGATGACTGTCGGACGGCCCTGGCCCCATCTCTGCCTCCGACGCGGAGCCTTTGTCAGAGCATCCCCCAAACTCCAGGACTGGCCCATGCTCCTCTCCAACCTCGCTACTGTCCCACTCTGCCCCCAGCTCCGCTGGCCGCTGGCGGGCCTCAACGCTCCAAACCAGGCATGCTTTTGTGGACTTCAACTCCCAGAATTCCTCAGCCAGCCCCCACCCCCTCGACCAAGACCCGGATGAGACCTTCAGAGCCAAAGGGGCGGGGTGGGGACAGACATTTGCCCCTTGCAATGCATTTTGTGCACCTCCCGCCCCCTCCTCGCTTTGCCACTCGGTAGGAGTCAGCCCTTCGCCACCAGTTGCTCTTCCAGGGGCCTGCACTACAACTTCCATGTTCCTTGGCCAGGAGACCCTTTTCCTTGGCTACTTCGGAGGGCGGGGGGGGGAGGTAGCTGCCGAAATGAAACTCGGCCCTGTGGCCATTCGGGCATCTTGGATAAACGGTTCAATGGCGGTTTCTCAACTTTTAAGTAACTTTTTTAAAAAGTGGTCTGGACTTTCAACTCCCAGAATTCCCCGGCTAGAATGCGCAACCTCAGGGGTTGCTGGCTGGAGAATTCTGGGAGTTGAAGTCCACAAGTCTTAAAGTGGCCAAGTTTGGAGAGCCCTGCGCAACCTAGTCATCGTTCCTCCTCGTCTCCTTTTTTTGGTTCCTTTTTGTGATTTAACTTCTTATTAGTTCATCGAAGTATAAAATAGCAAGGAAAAAGAAACCATGGAAAAATAAGAAAGGGAATAAGAAGGGATGTTGTGTGAATCTAAGCCATATCAGGCAGCTCCTGCTAGGATGGAACAGAAGGGGGGAAAGCTACTTGACATACGACTGGGGCCCCGGGTCATAAAACAGGTCGGTCATATGACCTGTTTTGCAGCAGGCCTCAAGTGAACCCAATGGTTCACTACGGGAACGGTAAGTTTTCGGTAAAAACCGTTGTAAAACACAAGTCCCGGGAGAGCCGTGCTGCCCAAAATTCAGTCACGTGACCCCAGGGGGAGGGAGGGGCTCCAACCACCAGGCCCTCGAGCCCAGGTCCCGAGTCCCCTTTTTCAGTCGGTCGTAATCCAAAGACTGCCTGTGCTTACAATAGCTCATTTAGTGACCCAAGTTACACCACCACTGAAAGAAAAGTGACTGGCGATCGTTTCTCAGACTTACGGACGGTTGCACGATCCCTGTGTGCTCAAAATTCAGGTGCTTGGCCACCGTCTCATAGGTACGATGGTCACAGTGTCCCAGGGGTGGGTGGGTGTTGGTCACGTGACCGCATTTTGCGACCTTCTGATCGGCCAAGTCAACGGGGGGAAGCTGGATTCACTTCACAAACGTGCGGCTGAAAGAATGGCAGCGGTTCGCTTAACTGTGACAAGAAAGGTCATAGAATCAGGCAAGGGTGTCATGCCCGCCAGAATCTGACTCGGAGGGGGAGGCCAAGCAGCTGACGGGGAGGAGTGGGGCTTCATTGGCTGTGGAGGAAACTGGGGGAGGGCAAAGTCTGGCTGGAGAGAGCAGGGAAGAGGTAGAACAAGGGAGAGGGGGTTCAGAGGAAGACCCAGGGCCGCCCCCTCTTCATCCTAGGGCATGCAGGGAGGAACGGAGAAGGGAGCAACGTGGGTTGCATGGCTTACGGGGGAGGAAAGGGCCCTGATTCCCTTCATTTGCTGCAGCTGGGAATGCAGTGTATTAAAAGGGAAGCTGCGCACACTAAATTTCTGGGACCAAATCATGAATTATCTGCTATCGTGGAGACTTATCTGAGTTCCTGGCATCTTCCCAAACACGTTGAGTTTTGCTGTGCTTTCAAGTCTGAAATTCCTGCTCCTGCCCTGTCCAGTGAATTACTTCAGCTTGGTTTGTTTGGATTTTAAGTTACAGTTTGCGTCTCCCTTGTTTTGGACTGAATTTTCTACAGCCAAAAGGTGTTTCCCTGGGAGCGTTTTTTTTTTTTCCAGCCAAAGGTAACCTGGACCTTGGGGGCAAAGTTGGAGGTATTAAAGGGACCCTTACTGCTTATTGGACTGTGTTGCCTTTTGCCACGCCCTGGGTCATCACAAAGGGTCAGTGAACAAGAAGTCCCCCTTAGCGATGGAGACGTTGGGCTCCACTGTGGTCGTTAAGTCAAGGAGTAGCTGTGTTCTACAAACACCACCTGGATGCACATTTTTTTAAAAAAGGGAAAGGCTGGTCGAATACACAGACGATACGAAACTCCGTTTCCAAGCGTGATTATTGTTACCGCGACAATCCCCGCACAACCCGCCATCCAAAACAGCACGCAAGTCTGCAAAAACACCCACCCACGCACAACCCGACGGCCTGTCTTTTCGCAAGGCCTGGAGCCTCCCAAATGAAGCCCCTCCCATCCCCCGGTTCTCTCTCCAACCCCATAATCCCCGGCTCAGGCAAGGAGGGTCTTGTAAGTGGTCATGTGTCCCCGTATGTTCTCCGCAATCTTCACGTCCGTCTTGTAGCGGTTGTAGAAATCCAAGAAGAGCCCATCCGGAGCGATCAAGTAGAGGATGACCGTGTGGTCCACCAGATAATCGTTGTCCTCATCTTTGGGGCCAGTGCTGTAGTAGACGCGGTAGGACCGCCCAGCCTCCTTCACCTGTTCCGGGGTGCCAGTCAGCCCCCGCAACCGTGGATGGAACTCCTTCACGTATTTGGCCACGGCCTCCACTGTATCCCGCTCAGGGTCCACGGTGATGAAGATGGGCTGGAGACGGGGCAGTTTGGGGTCTGCGTCCAGCATGTTGACCACCCGGCTCATCTTCTCCAACTCTTCCGGACAGATATCCGGGCAGTGAGTAAAGCCGAAGTAAAGGAGGATCCAGCTGCCTTTCAGGTCCTCCTTGGAACAAGGACGGCCGGTGTGGTCCACCAGCTGGAAGTTGCCTTGCCCGACGGCCACTTTCCTCAACTCCTCAATGCGTTTCTGCTTGTCCTGCTTCTCCTTCTCCGACCGGAAATACAGCCACGCCAGCACCAGCTGGAGCGTCACAAGGGAGAAGACCAGCAGGCGGGTCCTCAGAGGATAATAGCGCTCCGGTCGAGGGCCCCGCGAGTGCTCTTGGGAGGAGGGTCTCCAGAGGGTCAAAGCAGGCTGGCTGGCAGGAACCAAGAGGCGGAAATCACCCACCCTCCAGAACGGAGAAGACCGCCAGGCCGGGTGGCGGCCAGAAGAAGCCAGTTGACTTAGACAGGGGGTGGGCGGGCGGGGACTGCTGGCCAGGCTCCTCTCCCGGAAGGTGGAGCAGGCTCCCAGCCGCCAAGGCCTCAGCCTGGCCCAGCACTGAAACATCCCTCAAAGAGCTGCAAAGACAAAAATGTAGGAATCAGCGCCAAAAAGGAAATTTACTGGAGGATTCACTTTTTAATAGAACAGAACAGAATAACAAGAGTTGGAAGGGACCTTGGAGGTCATCTAGTCCAGGGGTCAGCAACCTTTTGGACCTCAGGGACCACCAAACTCATAATTTTAAATCCCGGGGACCACTAACCGGTTCTGTGGATGTGGCCTAATTTGTGGGTGTGGCTTGGTGGTCATGTGATTGGCTGGGATGGCTTGTATGTAAATATTATATTTATATAAATCTTGAATTTTTTATTTAAAAAAAAGAGCAACTTTTATCCAAAAGCAGGCAAAGCAGGCAGGCAGATTGAGTTGCTCACAGAATCACAGATTCATTCAGAGATCTATCTATCTGCCATCGGCTAGCTCAGTCTGTCAGATAAAATGAGCTTGCAAGCAAACTCATAAAATTTGCTAGCAAGCACTCTCACAAAATTAACTCACAACACACCATGTATG